GTCCCGTCATTCTGTCTCCAGACGTGCAAAACTCACCCGTCTATCTGTCCACTTGAGTCTCGTCATTCCGTCTCCAGACGTGCAAAACTCACCCGTCTATCTGTCCACTTGAGTCCCGTCATTCTGTCTCCAGACGTGCAAAACTCACCCGTCTATCTGTCCACTTGAGTCCCGTCATTCTGTCTCCAGACGTGCAAAACGACATCTTCGCGTCCACTTCGACGATGCTTTAAGTTGTTGTGAACAAGTCTTCTCTAGTTCGTGTTCCTTCCATAGTTGTTACGTTCGTCTCTTATAGCCTGTTCTCACGCCCCTGCTCTCGCGGGCCTAGCATCCGTCTTGTGACACTAGTGTGTGGTTCCGTTTTGGCGCTGCGTGTACTAGTATTGGTCTCACGTACGTAGTTAACAGAGTTCGCCCATATTTGCAGCTTTCAGCTGGATACTTTTTTTTTTTGTTGGAAGCTTGTGGTGCTGTCTTCCCTGCATCTTCACTCACTCTTCCCTTGATGAGTACTCACCTAGTTGTGCTCGCGAGGGTTGAGCTTTGGCTCTTTGGTCCCGCCTGAGAGTCTCCATCTCAAGGTGTGGGGGCTCTGCCCGCCTCCTCCTCCTCCTAGTCTCCTTATCGGCAGCCAATTGTTGCAGAGTTCTCCTGCAACCCACTGCAACCTAGTCGACCCTCCCCGAGGGGAATAAGACAGGTTGGGCCAACAACATGTATACCCTCCACGACGCGTCGACGACACACTGCCGTCGTGCAGCGGCGGAGCAGCGGTACAGGCCACTTCCTCTTTGGCCTGGCGTCTCCTGCCTGATGGATCATGCCGGACACGTGACACATGTATCGCAGCAGCTGGGCGAATGGTAGGTGGGAAAGGGAGGGAAGGTGAGAGACGGGTGGTAGACGGGAGAGGGATGGCTGGTTGTGGTGGCATAAGACAGATGGCGCTGGGTGCAGCCATCGGGCACCAGCTGGGATGTTGTCTGCTAATCTTATCGAAGGTAACCAAGAGCAGAGGAGTGAGCTAGATAGTGTGAGTAGCTGCTGAGGTGTCTGTGTACTCACCTAGTTGTATTCAACGTGTTGTATTCACCTAGTTGTGCTTGCGGGGGTTGAGCTCTGCTCTTTCGGCCCGCCTCTCAACTCTCAATCAACTGTTTTTATTACTACTTTTTTCCAAACACCACACACACACACCCACCCCAGGAAGCAGCCCGTGACAGTTGACTAACTCCCAGGTACCTATTTACTGCTAGGTAACAGGGGCATAGGGTGAAAGAAACTCTGCCCATCGTTTATCACCGGCGCCCAGGATCGAACCCGGGACCACAGGATCACGTGTCCAGCGTGCTGTCCGCTCGGCCACCGGCTCCCACCCGGTGTGTGTGTTATTCTTGAGAATAACATTGTTATTCTTGAGATAACATTCATTCTTGAGATAACATAACATTCTTGAGAATAATAATATTCTTGAGAATGTGTGTGTGTGTGTGTGTGTGTGTGTGTGTGTGTGTGTGTGTGTGTGTGTGGGTGTGTGTGTGTGTGTGTGTGTGTGTGTACAGGTGAGTGGGGACATAGTGGTGTGTGTGTGTGGGTGGATGTGTGTGTGTGTGTGTGTGTAGGGGACAGTGGGTGTAGGTGTGTGTAAGCGTTGGCAGCTTCAAAGTCAGCGTTGTCATGGCAACCAAACCAGAAACACTCACGCCAAACTCTTTCCTCTTTCACACACACACACACACACACACACACACACACACACACACACACACACACACACACACACACACACACACACACACACACACACACACATACACAATGTGTGTATGTGTGTGGGTGGTGGGGTTTGCCTGGTAGCCTGGTGGACAGCGCGCAGGACTCGTAATTCTGTGGCGCGGGTTCGATTCCCGCACCAGGCAGAAACAAATGGGCAAAGTTTCTTTCACCCTGAATGCCCCTGTTATCTAGCAGTAAATAGGTACCTGGGAGTTAGTCAGCTGTCACGGGGCTGCTTCCTGGGGTGTGTGTGTGTGGAGTGGGAAGAAATAAAAAAAAAAAAGTAGTTAGTAAACAGTTGATTGACAGTTGAGAGGCGGGCCGAAAGAGCAAAGCTCAACCCCCGCAAACACAACTAGGTGAATACAGTACACACACACACACACACTCACACAGGAGGATATGGGACTACCTGGGAGAAGTGCAGTGGGAGGAAGAAATTAGAGGAAAAACAGTTCAAGATATGATGGACTTAGTCACACGGAAATGCCTAGAGGCAGAAGAGAGATTTATACCAACAGTAAAGGAAAAAAAGAAGGAATATAATAACCCATGGTTTAATAGACAGTGTCAGGAAGCAAAACTGAGAAGCAGGGAGTGAAGGAAGTACAGAAGACAAAGGCCAGAGCACAACAGGTCTCTCTCTGTTAGATGTAACAGAACTAGGAACGATTACATTAACATAAGAAGAGCATCGGAAAGAAATTATGAGAACGATATTACGATCAAAGCGAAAAAGCAACCTTAATTTCTACACAGCCATATAAGAACAAAAATGTCGGTGAACGACTAAGTGACAAGACTAAGGAAAACAGAGGGGGCATATACTGAAAGTGACAAGGAAATTTGCGAGGCACTAAATGCCAGTTTCCATGGAGTGTTCACAACCGAGCCTGAGCATCTCCCATTGTTAGAAGAGATTACCCTAGATGAAAGACTATCAGATATAGAGGTGACAGCAGAGGAGGTAATGAAACAGTTGACAAAACTGCAACTAAAGCGGTCGGACCAGACAAAGTATCACCGTGGATACTAAAAGAGGCAGCGCAGGCCCTCAGCGTGCCTCTGACAAGGATCTTTAATGAATCACTTATGTCGGGAGAATTGCCCAATTGCTGGAAGAGGACAAATGTTGTACCGATTTTCACGAAAGGTGATAGGAAGGAGGCACTTAACTACAGACCCGTATCACTGACAAGCATCCCCTGTAAAATACTTCAAAGAATAATTAGGCTAAGACTGGTTGCACACCTGGAGAACATTAGGTTTGTAAACAAACACCAACATGGGTTCTGGACAGGGAAATCTTGCCTAACAAACCTTCTGGAATTCTATGATAAAATAACAAGGATAAGGCAGAACAGAGAAGGCTGGGCGGACTGCATATTTTTGGACTGCCAAAAAGCCTTTGATACAGTACCGCACATGAGACTGCTATACAAACTTGAGAGGCAGGTGTGAGTGAGCGGAAAGGCCCTAGCATGGGTAAGGAACTACCTAACAGGAAGGAGCCAGAGGGTTACGGTAAGGGGCGAGAAGTTGGACTGGCGAACAGTAACGAGTGGAGTACCTCAAGGATCGGTGCTGGGACCAATTCTATTTTTAATATACGTTAACGACATGATTACAGGAGTATAATCCTACATGTCGATGTTCGCGGATGACGCAAACTTGATGAGAAGAGTTATGACAGATGAGGATTGTAGGATCCTCCAAGACGACTTGAACAGGTTGCAGAGTTGGTCAGGGAAATGGCTACTGGAGTTCAACACGAGAAAATGTAAAGTTATGGAAATGGAACTAGGTAATAGGAGACCAAAGGGACCGTACACAATGAAGGGGAACTGCCTACCTGTGACGACACGAAAAAGAGACCTGGGTGTGGACGTAACACCTAATCTATCTCCTGAGGCACATATAGGATATCGACAGCAGCGTACTCTACACTGGAAAAAATTAGAACATCATTCAGAAACCTAAATAAGGAGGCATTTAGGGGGCTTTACACTGCCTACGGGAGGCCAGATTTGGAGTATGCCACCTCATCATGGAGTTTTCACCTGAAGAAACACTTAAGGAAACTGGAAAAGGTTCAGAAGTTTGCAACGAGACTCGTCCCAGCGTTACGAGGGATGGGGTATGAAGAGCGCCTGAAGGAACTGAGCCTTACGATACTAGAAAAAAAAGAGAGAGGGGGAAAATGATAAGAATGTATAAAATACTCGGGGGGATTGACAGAGTGGACATAGACGAAATGTTCACACGGAATAGCAACAGAACGAGGGGACATGGGTGGAAGCTGGAAACTCAGATGAGTCACAGAGATGTTAGGAAGTTTTCTTTTAGCGTGAGAGTAGTGGGAAAATGGAATGCATTTAAGGAGCAGGTCGTGGAAGCAAATTCCATTCGTAATTTTAAAACTAGGTATGATAGGGAAATAGGACCGGAGTCATTGCTGTAAACAACCGATGGCTCGAAAGGCGGGATCCAAGAGTCAATGCTCGATCCTGCAGACACAAATAGGTGAGTATACACACACTAGAAAGAAATTTGAAATAATTTTTTTATTCATTAAATTCATTAGATTCAGACGTTAGAAAGAATTTTTTCAGTGTCAGAATATTTAACAGATGGAATGCATTAAGCAGTGATGTTGTGGAGGCTGACTCCATATACAGTTTCAAATGTAAATTTGATAAGAGCCCAGTAGGCTCCAGAATCTGTACACCAGTTGATTGACAGTTGAAAGGCGTGACCAAAGAGCTCGAGCTCAACCCCCGCAAGTACAATTAGATAAGTACACACAGATGGACGGTCCTGAGGGAAGAATTCTGCTCCCCCGGCAGTACCTTCTTCCTTTGATATAACCAAAGGGGAGATCCAGACATACACGTGTACAGGTCACTGGTGCCTGGCCTCCCTCGGGAGAACTGCCACCCACTGGAGGCTTGCGATGTCTTGAGGCAGTGGGGTGCCAGGCCTTAGAGGCACTGGTGCATGTGCAAGGGGGGGGGGTGTCAATTAATGGAGTGGTGTGCAGGCCAAATGTGAGAGGGGAAGTAAAGTGCATGACTCCTGGAGAAAGTGAATTAAGGTGTGTGTGTGTGTGTGTGTGTGTGTGTGTGTGTGTGTGTGTGTGTGTGTGTGTGTGTGTGTGTGTGAAGGAGGACGTATGGGTGCCGGTGCCAGCTGATGCCAGGTTGAGAGAGCTGGTAGTGGCAGTGCCCCTCCCAGAAGCGTGCAGGGAGGGTATCGGGTGGTGAGAGTAGTGTTAGTGCCAGTTGGCATCCCGTTGTTAGTGCCGGTCTTGCTGTACAGGTGAGCTCCCAGGGGCTCTCTCTCTCACCCTCCTTCTAACCCCCCTTAACCTTTCCTCAGCCTCACACACCCTAACCTTCCGGGTCACTAACGGAAGTGTCCGCCGCTGCGAGTGACTGGAAGAGGCGTGTCGGTCGCCAGTGAGGCAGTACGGAAGTTGTGGTGTGGGTGTTCCCGGGGCCGCGGACTCAAGACAGCCCGGAGTGAAGGGAATATATGAGAATGTCGTGTTAGTGGTGGTGTTAAGGTGTCATGAGGCAGGACACGCGCCCACCTCCTCCTCCTTCACCTGTGTGACCCCCATCTCCTCCTGCGTGTCTCCTGGTCGTCGTCACAGCTCCTGCTATCAGCTGCCTCCTCATCCTATTTGTATTATTATCGGCTTCACATTTTCTCTCTCTCTCTCTCTCTCTCTCTCTCTCTCTCTCTCTCTCTCCTCTCTCTCTCTCTCTCTCTCTCTCTCTCTCTCTCTCTCTCTCTCTCTCTCGCGCTATCCTTCTTTCTTTGTTATTCCCGTTAGTTTACATTGTTCCCGGGATAAGTGGGTGGGGCGAATGTTGACTTCTAGCGACTCCGGATACTACGTGAAGCTGTCCACACCGCTGGTCTCCAGACACCCGCCCCAGTACCCTGGTAAGTGTACTGTGCCGCCCCCCCTCACCTCACTCACTCACTCACTCACTCACTCACTCACTCACTCACTCACTCACTCACTCACTCACTCACCCACCTCCTCATTCTTCCACTTCCTTGTGCACTCACTTGTACACTCACCCACTCACGTGCTTGTTCACTCAAATGCTCAAATCTTATTCCGTCTCTTCCTTTACAGTTGTGTGTGTGTGTGTGTGTGTTTGTTTACATGTGTCGCAATGAAACGTTAGATCAGTACTTCTAGGATAAGTGACGAACCAGCAGTAACGTGCCGTGACATGACAGAGCTATAACGTGTCACGGGCAATGACAATGGTTCCTCAAACATTGTAATGCATTATTTTTCTTACATCATTATGGCAACACTGGGGGAACATTAGGCTATATTTATGTGGTTTTGGAAAATTCGTTGAAATCTTGAACAGTTTATCCAATGTTCACTTTTTCACAACACTTGAAGTGGATTAAAAGGATAAGATTTTCCCATATTAAAAAAAATTGCTGAAATAATATCAATGATGGACTGACCCTTTTTTGGATTGGGGGGGGGGATGATTTGTACCTATATTTTGACCAATCCATTTAAAAGACAAAATCGCAGGGACAGTAGAAATGATGACGTGATTGATGTCATGGGAGTATTGTACTTGTATTTCCGCCAACCTAATTGCTAGAAAAATGCCTGCTGTCGGTACCATTTCCTTGGGGTATCGCAGATTAGTCAATGGTCCAACAGCCGCGTCCAACAGCCTGGTTGATCAGTCCGGCAACCAGGAGGCCTGGTCGACGACCGGGCCGCGGGGACGCTAAGCCCCGGAAGCACCTCAAGGTAACCTCAAGGTATGATTTATGGGTACCAGTGTCTCGGGTGAGTCCGGGTTCGTCGTGACTGTTCTTGAGTGAACGGGAAAGCATTAGATGTAAATTAACACATTTTCGCCGGTGTTGTTAAGCCGGTCTTTCGGCTCACAACACCTGTTGCATCCGGCTCACAACACCTGTTGCATCCGGCTCACAACACCTGTTGCATCCGGCTCACAACACCTGTTGCATCCGGCTCACAACACCTGTTGCATCCGGCTTACAACACCTGTTGCATCCGGCTCACAAACACCTGTTGCATCCGGCTCACAACACCTGTTGCATCCGGCTCACAACACCTGTTGCAACCGGCTCACAACACCTGTTTCAGCCGGCTCACAAACACCTGTTGCATCCGGCTCACAACACCTGTTGCATCCGGCTCACAACACCTGTTGCAACCGGCTCACAACACCTGTTTCAGCCGGCTCACAAACACCTGTTGCATCCGGCTCACACACACCTGTTGCATCCGGCTCACAAACACCTGTTGCATCCGGCTCACAACACCTGTTGCATCCGGCTCACAACACCTGTTGCAACCGGCTCACAACACCTGTTGCAACTGAGCAACGAAGAGCAAGAACCAATCTCCCTGATTGTTTTGCTGGGCATTGATTTGTTTTCACTAAACTAATGTTAAGACATTTCCCCTGATCCTGGAGTAATTTGAGGCATCACGAGAGCTTAACAGCGCCAACCATCACGTTGTTGTGACTACACTAGTCGTTAACTCATTAATGCTAAACCAAAATTGTGTCGAATCTGCAATCATACTGAGGTCATCCTCGAGGTTGACTCAGACGAGCATGACACAGCACAGACAAAAGTCGTATATCATTGTGTCTAAGGATAGACTTCGCCCTTCCCCCTCCCCCCTATCCTTCAGTGGCTCGAGTTCATTGTAAAAAAGGTTGAAGTCTTCTCGCTCTGGGATAGCCAACTGCTCCGGTTCTGTTTCTGGATAGCTTCGAGAAATGGGAAATGGGGGGACGTTAATTTAGAAAGGGGGTGGTCTCCCATGGGTAGGAAAGTGTCGCTGCTGTTTCTCTTGGTAGAAATGATGAACATTACACATTTTGAGTACAATGGCTGTTTTCGTAATCCATTTAGAGGGATGCTGACCTTCAAGATAGAAGCCTCGGAGGGCTTCAGTACAGGGGGAAGAGACACAAAGAAAGGGTTCCCCATACGGTGTACCCTTCCGTCACCACGGAGTACTTACCATACACGTGTATGGTAACTGTATATACGAGTGTATGCAGTGGTGCGTGGGTGTATTAAGTCCATAAAGGCGTAGGAGAATATTTTGAAACGGATATATTTGAGGACAGTGTAGAACAGGTGTTACGGATGCGTGGATACATGTTCAGGAGAAGAAACAGGTGTAGGAGAGAGGAGCGAGGAAACAGGTGTAGGAGAGAGGAGCGAGGAAACAGGTGTAGGAGAGAGGAGCGAGGAAACAGGTGTAGGAGAGAGGAGCGAGGAAACAGGTGTAGGAGAGAGGAGCGAGGAAACAGGTGTAGGAGAGAGGAGCGAGGAAACAGGTGTAGGATAGAGGAGCGAGGAAACAGGTGTAGGAGAGAGGAGCGAGGAAACAGGTGTAGGAGAGAGGAGCGAGGAAACAGGTGTAGGAGAGAGGGTGGTGCAGAATGAGGGACTGGGGTGAGGGGGTGCCCTCCCAGACCTAGCCAGGTGGGGTATTCAGCAAGGATCACTCAGGTGACAGCTTTATTGTCACTCTGGTGTACAACTGATGCCATCACGAACAGTTACCTTAATTGGATTGGTGCCGATTGCTCTCTCTCTCTCTCTCTCTCTCTCTCTTCTCTCTCTCTCTCTCTCTCTCTCTCTCTCTCTCTCTCTCTCTCTCTCTCTCTCTCTCTCTCTCTCTCTCTCTCCTAATTCCCTTTCCTCAATCCCTCCCTCCCTCCCTTCCTTCTGCCCTTCTCTCCATTCCTCATCATTTCATTGATAGTTGCCACGAGAATTGCCATAACTGTTCCTGGTCCGTCCAGCGTACCTGTGTGCTCATGGCACCTCAATGTCCCCATAGGTGCCAGCGCAAATTATTTATTTTGAGCAATGCTTTCAGTTTTTGCACTGGAGAATATTAGCTGGTAGTGTGTGTGGTGTGGGGTGGTGGTGGGGGTGGGGGGGGGTGACGAGGGGCAGGAGGGGGAAGGAGAGTGCGAAGAAGATGATATGATACTGACGAAATGGATGCTGTCGGGTAAGGTGACACCATGTTGAGTGGATGGCTCCTGTTGGCATTATCACCACCACTACCACCACTACCACCCTCTACTACCACAACCCCCACCCCCACCACCACCACCACTACCACCCTCTACCACCACAACCCCCACCCCCACCACCACTACCACCACAACCCCCCACCCCCACCACCACCACAACCACACATACCACATCTACGGCCACCACTACCACCACCACCCCCACCACTACCACCACCACCACCACCACCACTACCACCACTACCAACACTACCACCACCACTACCGTCACCAACAACTTGTCCCACGCTTCTCGAGAGATTTTTCTGGGTTCGAGTCCTCTCCAGAGAGAATTGTCTGGGCGCCAGTCCATAACTGTTCGCCTCTGTTCGCCCAGCAGTAATTGTCTACTGGGTTGTTAACCGATTGGCAGGTTGTGTTCCAGGAAAAAAACAAGTGGGAATATGGCTTACCATGAGCTCTGGGAAGAGTAGGCTCTCGTCCTAATAACAAGAGTCAGAAGTCGTCTATTCCTGTACTCACCTGTGAAAAAATGTCACCATATCATTACTACCGCCTCCACTACCACAACCACCACTACAATCACTACCACAACCACCACTACAATCACTACCACAACCACCACTACAATCACTACCACTAATACCAGACATAATCAACTGGACTACATTATAAGAATATCAACAAAGATGGCAGTCAAAGCAGCGGTCATATACATCCCCGCCACTAAACACCAAAATACCCAGGCCAGAATATGACAAATGCAACGACGTTCGTTGAAAGTTATGACAAAGGTGCAACAGTAGTCAGAGAGGAGAGACTACTGTTGCATTAGAGGACCAGAGGGGGAGAGACACATTAGAGGACTAGAGAGGGAGAAACACATTAGAGGACCAGAGAGGGAAAGACACATTAGAGGACCAGAGAGGGAAAGACACATTAGAGGACCAGAGAGGGAGAGACACATTAGAGGACCAGAGAGGGAGAGACACATTAGAGGACTAGAGAGGGAGAGGCACATTAGAGGACCAGAGAGAGAAAGACACATTAGAGGACTAGAGAGGGAGAGACACATTAGAGGACTAGAGAGGGAGAAACACATTAGAGGACCAGAGAGGGAAAGACACATTAGAGGACCAGAGGGGGAGAGACACGTTAGAGGACCAGAGAGGGAAAGACACATTAGAGGACTAGAGAGGGAGAGACACATTAGAGGACCAGAGAGGGAAAGACACATTAGAGGACCAGAGAGGGAGAGACACATTAGAGGACCAGAGAGGGAGAGACACATTAGAGGACTAGAGAGGGAGAGACACATTAGAGGACTAGAGAGGGAGAAACACATTAGAGGACCAGAGAGGGAGAGACACATTAGAGGACCAGAGAGGGAGAGACACATTAGAGGACCAGAGAGGGAGAGACACATTAGAGGACTAGAGAGGGAGAGACACATTAGAGGACTAGAGAGGGAGAGACACATTAGAGGACCAGAGAGGGAGAGACACATTAGAGGACCAGAGAGGGAGAGACACATTAGAGGACCAGAGAGGGAGAGACACATTAGAGGACCAGAGAGGGAGAGACACATTAGAGGACTAGAGAGGGAGAGACACATTAGAGGACCAGAGAGGGAGAGACACATTAGAGGACCAGAGAGGGAGAGACACATTAGAGGACCAGAGAGGGAGAGACACATTAGAGGACTAGAGAGGGAGAGACACATTAGAGGACCAGAGAGGGAGAGACACATTAGAGGACCAGAGAGGGAGAGACACATTAGAGGACCAGAGAGGGAGAGACACATTAGAGGACTAGAGAGGGAGAGACACATTAGAGGACCAGAGAGGGAGAGACACATTA